CTCTCTTTCCTTCTTTCTTTCGTTGCTTCGTACTAGGTGCAAGAGGGGTGTCATTCTGTGTGATGTGGCTTCCTTCGCTCCCCATGTTGGAGAGGGATGCCTGGTCAAAATAGAGTGTACGAATGGTGGAAACCAGCTTGGCAAAGCTGAAGAGAGTGGAAATAAGTGTCGTTCACACAGACAGCGCCAAATGTTGATGCACAAAATCAGTGAGGACTTTGGTACAACAGAAAGTGTTAGGTTTATGACATTCGCTAGATTGCTCTGGTCACTAGTGTGGATAAGTTTGTAAATGGATAGAGACAAGGAAGCAAACACAAGATGTATGTGGTTCACCCAGATTGGCTATGTCCACGGAGTAGAGGAGTTCTCATTCATTGTGAAGGGTTTACACAAGTACATAGGTTCAAGCTCTCCTTTAGTGAGTACTAGTGAATCATTTAGGACAAATGACATTAGGAAATATTATGAGAGAATGATCTCTATTTATAGAAGAGAGTTTCTAGTTTCATTCTGACATTGACACGTGTCGTGTTGTGATTGGCTTCTGATGTTGACACGTGTCGCGCTATGATTGGCTTCTGATGTCGACACGTGTCGCGCTGTGATTGGCCTCCTGGTTTGAGGGAAACTCTTCTAGGTCCTTGATGGTATAACGTTGACTGGTGCTCAGTAGTTTCAGGATTGGTCAAGTATGGTACAAACATAGGGTAATGAACATTACTACCACTTGAGGGTGGTGAGCAAAAATGCAATCAAAATGTTAGGGAGATTATGTTTTAAAATCATATTTTGTAGACCACGTATGTGATGTGGCGATTAATGGTTGAATTCTTTTTCTAATGACTTGAAGGAATCCAACCATCAAAATGCCACATTATATATATGTAATCTACAAAATACAAATCACGTAAATAGTATCTAGCATCAGTAATGATACACTTACTACTTATTTGTACTATCTTTCTAATAAAGGTAGGGTCGACCAACGCATGTAGGTGAAAAAGAAGCCCTGGAGTCGCATCCTGTGCCAGGTTAGTGAAACAATTGAGAAAGGGTTAAGTCAACACAAACAGTAAGAAGCATAAGGCCAAGGAAGCCAGATTGAGAGCTCAGCAACTGGACAACAGCTCCGGCAATGCACCATCGTCGCAATCAACCAACTCTGAGGTTGACTTGATATTATGATTAGCAAAACGCTAATCGGACTCCTACATTGTTTGTGAAAATCGTATCTTCTCATGTTTCGAAACCCTAATGTTGATTTTATTGGAATATAGGATTATTTTGTTATTTGAATTTGGGCTTAGCCCATTAGTATTAGGATTTCGTTTTCTTACTTATTAGGGTTATGTTAGTTCTCTATATATATGGTGTTTTGTAGCTCGTAGAATATCAAGTTAGTCACAATGTAGCCTCTTAGGATTTTGTAGCCGTTTCGGCATTCTCGTTTATAAATAATATTCTTGTTATTCTTGTTAGTCTTATTCGTTGCGCACTTTGATATTCAACTTGGTATCAGAGCAGGTTTGATCCTTCGGGATTTAATATGCTTCTGTTCAGTATCAATTTGTCTGTCTCTTCCGTTTGTTAGTTGTTTTGTTCTCAGTTGTCGTTGGCTTAGGTTGCAGAAAAAGTAAAGAAAAGAGTGTAGAAAAAGAATTTGTTTGCCAACGGTTTTAATGAAGCTCTGACTCGAGAATCACAAACTCGGATCAAGTTTGTCTCTACCTTAGGCCTTCCTGTTTAACCCAGCTTGCATGAACCCACCATACCAGTACCCGCCGCCACATCTGACTAAATCTAAACCGCTCGATCCATCGACCATTGCTGAGAAACCCATATGCACACTGCCGCTGCTCATGCACCCAGTTACCAAGCTTGCCGCTGCTATCCATCGCGCCTACAGTCACCGCATCGTAGCAGATCCAGATTGTCCACCAACCTGCACCCATTTCCATCTTCATGGATTACATCGTTGCTGCTTCTATATTAGGGGAAAAAGGGAAAAAAATGAAAAAAAAAATAGATAAAAAAAATTGTTGGAAGTTTTGGCCCACACGAGCAGAGAGGAAAAATGGGTTGTAAGCTATTTACCGCCCATTTTTTGGTTTGATGTCTTTGAGGCCCACACGGATATCATGGAAATAACCTGCTGTTGGAGCTTGTTGTTGCAACGATTACTCGAGTACTTGAATTGGTGACCACTCAAGTGATGTTGTGTGCTGGTGAACTGAAGTTTGTTTGATTGAAAGTTTGCACTGGCATTGGAATTGGAATATTGCACTTGCACCACTTGGAATACTTTCGCTCGCTTGCCTGTTTGCTTGCTTGATTGCTCACCCACTTGCCATGTCATGTCTGCCTAACGGAGTTTGCCTTGTCGTGTCCGCCTAACGAAGCTTGTCTTGTCTTGTCCGCCTAACGAAGCGTGCATCTGCATCTGCTTATTAGCAAACTCATGATGTGTACCGCCATAAGTTTGACGGGGGTGGAATTTAGGATTATTTTGTTATTTGAATTTGGGCTTAGCCCATTAGTATTATGGTTTTGTTTTCTTGCTTATTAGGGTTATGTTAGTTCTCTATATATATGGTGCTTTGTAGCTTGTAGAATATCAAGTTAGTGACAAAGTAGCCTCTTACGCTATGTTTGGATGAAGAAATTTAAGATTACTAAGGTATTTCAAAATGATGGAAATTAAATTGACATGATTTTATTTTCTAGAATTTGTGAATTTTTTTGTTTGGTTAACATAAAAGAACAATGGAATTGAATACGGAATTTATTATTTTTAAACTCTCAATCATAGAAATTGAGAAATGACATACAATTTAAACTTGGGAAGTAGAGGTCCCAAATTCCAATTTTTTTTCCACGCGGAAATTCTAAATTTCTATGGTTATGAATCCAAACAAGGGAACCGGTTCATATCAATTTATAAATTCTGACTTTTACACAAATTACAAGTTTATTTCTCTCATCCAAACGTAGTGTTAGGGTTTTGTAGCCGTTTCAGCATTCTCGTTTATTAATAATATTCTTATTATTCTTGTTAGTCTTATTCGTTGCGCACTCTGATATTCAACTGATTTTCACCTAAATCATAATAATCGTATCAAATTCCATATATTTGTATGTATTACAAAATCAGATGCCATACATATAATTAGTTGCAAACCCATACATAATAATCGCTCCGTTACAGTGTTCAGCAAATCACCCCAGCTGCCAGAGATCGATACCGACATTGTTGGGATCACGGTAACTCAATCTGTTTCGTGTTTGGAGCATAAGTGGCGTGATATGAGTAGAATGAGCATGCTTCAAAGTTGAATTAGAGGTTATGTATTTGGTGTTGAGGCAAGTCCATCTCATTTTTACCACCTAATTAGATCAGCTGCCCGCTGGCTGGGGATGTAGCAGCAGCAACCACACAACTAATGTACGTTTTGTTAAGTAATGTCCGCACTCCCCTTTATAATCATTTCAGTTGGTGATAATATGGTAGCGTAAGCGCAAGCAGAGAGCCGACCAGCTTCAAACCACCGTGGGATGACCCAAATTGACCTAGGCCTACCTTTTCCTATATGTTGTAAACTTTCCATTACTTATTCCAACTTGATTAATTAGCTTCTATTGTTTGTGAAAATCATACATCATTCTTACTTTTCTTATGAGAGATGTTTTATGCACTCTCTTACTTTTCGGTAACAATCAATGGAGTATGAATAGACACAACTGAGGGAAGAGACTATACAATTAAATAACTCATGAAATTGGTCTAATCATTTGGGTTCACTTTGTAGGACATAGTAGCAACCAACAATCGACACAAGGGAAAGAGAAGGAGCAGGTATCTACAACCAATACTGAAACCGAAACATCCACAAAACTCATAAGACAAACGACGACTCGACAATGCAGAAGCTTGCCTGCTCGAAGGCAAGGTGTATGTCAATCATTCACTAAAATTGTTGATTAAAAACACACGCACACTCTCAAAGCAAAAACACCACCAGTTCAAGCAAATCAAAGCAAAACATCGATCCAAATTAATAGGCACTGCACATTTATCATATTCCAAGACGAGTTCCCAAGGCCAGTGTTGCCAGGGCGAACGTCTGGGGCCAAAATAATTGGGGGCATCAAATTTATTAGGACGGTATATTTATACATGTTTTCATAAAAATATAAATTTATATAATTTGGTTCAATGACAAAAAATTGACTGGTGGTTTTGTTATTTGAAATTAATGAGAAAGTCTTAGGTTCAAAACACCATGTGTGCTTATTTATTTTTCAATTTTTACAAATTTCTTTTCATCATAAGAGCATAAATAAATAAAACTTGACTAAATGATCAAGAAGTTTAATAAGAATCAATGCTTTTTGTTGTTTAAAATTAACGAGATGTCCTAAGTTCGAAATGCTAAGTGCATGTTTATTATTTTCAATTTTTATGAATTTTTGTTTGATTGTTAATTTATTTTTAATTAGTAGCTAGTAGCTATGTGGGTTGTTGTTTTTAAATATTTGTTACAATTCAAGTCTAATTTTCAACAAAGAGTCATGCGTTGACCAAATTTGTCATAAAAAAGTATAATTTAGTACCCATTTATTACTTATACATATCAATTAAATGCTAAAAAACATCATTATTTTTTTAGTCCCATATTGACAAGGTTAGTAAATAAGGAAAAACACCTCACAATTTAAACAAAAACACTTTTAAAGTTCAGATAGAAAACAAAACTCATATATATCTACTTGTAAACCTGGAGTTTTTTTTTTTCCTTCTCATGATACAAAATAAATTAGTTTTTCCGTGTTTATAAATTATTAAGTTTGAAATGCTTTTCTAAGTATAATTTTATCGATGTCTTACATGTGAAAACAAATAATTTTATTATATAAAATGAGGACACATTTTTTGGCGTCGTCCCGGACCTCAAAAATCTCTAGACTGGTCCTGAGTCCATGCAAGGGACAGCCAAATTAAACACAGAAAACACCCAACAAGAAGTATATATACCAGTGACGACAACAGAGCTATCTAGCTTAATTATTCCAAGACATACGTGGGTGCACAACAACATATATATAACATAGAGCACTAAAATGAAACGATAATTCAACAGCTGCTGCATACATGCACCCAGTCCTCCTTAGCTTCAGCAATCAGCAAGCGGTATATCATCGAGCAAACAGGGGTGCAAGGGCGCATATCCCCTCCATTTTCCTCGAGTAGTTTTTTTAAATCCAGGCAGTCATCAAGCATGTGGGTACCAATCTCATAACAATAAACACACTCAAGGAGAACAGCACGCCCCCACTCTACTACATAGCCCTTGCCAACCTGAGTTACGCCTTTTGGAAGCCGTTTCCTCCAGGGGCACATACCAGGAAAGTGCCCAAACTCGGAGCAAATTGCACAAGTAGACGGCATAGAGGAAAATGTGCCTGGCTCGATTATGAGTTTACGACGGGCTAGGCATGTGGGATTATTATCCTCCTTGAGAAAAGCTGGAAGAGTATTCTTCTCCTCAAGCTGGAGTTGAGTCTGAGAGTCTTGGGCAGCCTCTACTTTTGTGAGATGAGTCGCCGGAGAGTCTTTAATAGAATCTTTTTCTTTATTCTTATCTGCACCTGTGTTTTAGAGAAAATGCACATATATATTAATCAGTGGCGGACCAAGGATTTAGCTCATGTGTGGCATAAAAAGAAAATTAACTAAATATGTTTCAACAAATTATGAGAGTGAGGACATTCGTAACTTGAGACCACTTTCAATATTAGAAAGAGCACAAACACTAGACGAATAACTAATATAACTGGTAAGAAACCTAATATATGAAGTAAAAAGTTTTGACCTTTGACAATTAATAGTATTTTTAATAAGTTAATTTACAATTATCCAATAATGCATTTTTAATAAGCTTACTTTCAATTATCCAATAATGCATTTTGACCTTTTCACAATAATGCATTATAGTCTTATTAGCCTACAAGCTGTATCAACTACATAGTTAAAGTTAGAGATTGTATAACCAAGTGAGGGGCATATGCCCATACTTGGTCCCCCCAGTGACATTAATAATTTAGAAGATGAGCTAAGTAAGCGAGAACATCTGGATTCAACCCCTTATTTACTTTGTACTCTCAATTTCATTCATCAAGTACTTATTACTACTACTTCTACGTCATGCTCAATTACTTTCTACACAAGTAATAAATATCTACTCTAAGTATTTTTACACGAGTGGCCGGCATGGCCACATCAAACAGAACTGCGATACTTAGCTAACCAATCAAAGTTGCGATTCTGAATGGATTCTTAAATTAAAATCTAGCTATTAATAATTAAAAAATGCAAAAAATTAGGCATCAAGTACCCTAATTAAATTCAAGCACCGAACCCTAAAAACAAATGCAGATTGCAACAAACATATGCAGCCGGAATTGAAATGCATGAAACCCTAATTAAACATAATGCAGCTGCTTATCTTCCCCTAAGAACAAAAATTGAAACAGATAATCGTCCCTCACAAACCCTAAAAACTAAAATTGAAAAGCATACCAATACTAGGAGTCCAAATCTCATCTCGGAGCTTCGAGGGTTGGGCCGGAATTGGATTCTCCCCCTCCATGGATTCTCCTGGTTAGCCTTCGAATTGGCGTTTCATGGTTTTGTGTTTGTCAGAGAGAGAGAGGAGAGAGAGAAGGCTGAGAAGCGGGCACGAATTTGGGTTTGCGACAATTTTGTTTACTTTTGTCAAATACTTATTGAGTTATTTACTAGAAAACTACCCGTTGCTTGAAAAGCACATGAAAAAACATGTTTCAAAGGGATAAAATATTGTCACAAAAGGTTAATATTATTTACAATGAAAGATGCTTCAGCTTTTTGAAAGAATTTTTACATGAAGGGGAGAAACTGGGTGAATCAAGCTCCTAGAATTCTTCGAACCACTTTATAAATAGCTTGACCTAATTGTGTAAGAAAAGTTAGCAACAGAGTGTAATAGTATTACATATTTTTTATTATTATCACGGAATATGAAACTATATGGAAAGCTGTAGTCTTCTGGTATACTCACTTGTAGTTTGAAAACCAATAAAAGAATGCAAGACATAATATATACACAGAAAAGTAAAAACTGAAATACATAAAGACACTTAAAACTGAAAAAGGTTTCAATTACTGCATCAATGCATATCAAATTACTCATACATGGTTTGAAATTGTCCCAAATAAAGGAAAATGTAACTGGCTCCTAGTTGTTACAACTGAAAGAGTTTAGTTTTGTTAAAGAATACTTATTGAGGAAGATAAAAAAGATATGAATTTTTTTTATTTTTTATTTTTTTGTGTTGAATCAATAGATTTGTTAGATTAAATGTTAGATTAGGCACTAATAGGGTTCGAACCCACGCCGTCATGCAAGAACTCAACACCTTTTCACCACTGTGGTAAAGGGTCACATGCATATAAAATAAATTTAGTAAGTAAATTGGTTTTAGAAACATAGACAGATCTCTACCTTTAATGTAGTTAAAGCATTTAAAACAGCAGGTTAAACCACTAAAAAAATTAATGGCAGGGGTAGACAGGCAATGAGTTCATTTGTACTTCATTTTTATATAAACTGATACAATTTTATGCAAAGAGTTGATCCTCTCACTTTCATCAGTACAATCAAGCCTTAATTTGATGCAATTTTAGTAAATGCAAACATCGAGTATCAATGGAAGAAATGAGAATAAATAAAAAAAAAGAAGTGAAAATTAAAATCATACAACAATTTATAGATAATGTCAGAATGCAGGAATTAAAGTTAGCAAAAATCTATGGACAAATATCAATTAAATCATTGTAACAACATACTAAAAAAGCAAAGTTGGAAATTCATGTACCATTTCAAAAAATCAAATCAAGTAATGTCGAAAGATTAGGAGCTCGTTTGAATGTGCTTTTAAAATGATTGAAAGCACTTTTGGTGAAAATGTTTTTGGAACCAATCCTTAGTAAAAATGCAAGTAAATTCTGGAAATGCACTTAAAATGCTTCATAGAAGAAGCACATAACTGGTGCTTCTTGCAGAAAGCACTTTAAGTGCTTTTGGCACCAAAAAAACATTTTCTCTAAAAGCACTTTCATTTATTTTAAAAGCACATCCAAATGAGCCCTAGAAAAGCATCATAAAAAGAAAAAACCGTCTTATATGCATTAAAATGATCGACAAATTCTAAGTGAATCATCACCAAACGGGTACAATCAAAAGTGAAGACTATAATCAAACTTCATGAGCCTAACTGAAACAAATTAAACACCCGCATCGAAAATGCATTAAAAAGCTGAAAATATGCCGTAAAAAGGTATTCAACTCTGTATTTACCTGCAAAGCTTCAATCTGTCTAAGAAGAAGCCTACTATATTCTGGAAATTGGGTAATCAACTTGTTACATCGGCGTTCACTTTCCTAGAAAGAAAAAAAAAACACAAATGAAAAAAATGCAATATATTTGGAATACTGGTACATAAACGTAATTTTCAAATTAGATTCAAGATAACTGCAATGCTAGTACTTTTCAAGTAAGCTTGGCAGCCACAGAACATGGCGTGTCATAAATAGGAAAAGAAAAAACAAATGAACAACAAATTGTAAGTTGTATTCTGCAGAAGATTAATACCTTGACTAACTAAATGAATCGACAGTAAAAATATCTAAATCCTATAATTAAGTGCAATTAAAACGGGAAAGGAGAAATCAAATAGATTTGGAAATGATGATTATGCAGCAGAGTAGGAGAGAAAGTATAGGTGGATATGGAAGACACTGGTCTGCAATTGATCAACAACAACAACAACAACAACAAAGCCTTTTCCCACTAAGTGGGGTCGGCTATATGAATCCTAGAACGCCATTGCGCTCGGTTTTGTGTCATGTCCTCCGTTAGATCCAAGTACTCTAAGTCTTTTCTTAGAGTCTCTTCCAAAGTTTTCCTAGGTCTTCCTCTACCCCTTCGGCCCTGAACCTCTGTCCCGTAGTCACATCTTCGAACCGGAGCGTCAGTCGGCCTTCTTTGCACATGTCCAAATCACCGGAGCCGATTTTCTCTCATCTTTCCTACAATTTCGGCTACTCCTACTTTACCTCGGATATCCTCATTCCCAATCTTATCCTTTCTCGTGTGCCCCACACATCCCACAAAGCCTCCTCATCTCCGCTACACCCATTTTGTGTACGTGTTGATGCTTCACCGCCCAACATTCTGTGCCATACAACATCGCTGGCCTTATTGCCGTCCTATAAAATTTTCCCTTGAGCTTCAGTGGCCTACGACGGTCACACAACACGCCGGATGCACTCTTACACTTTATCCATCCAGCTCGTATTCTATGGTTGAGATCTCCATCTAATTCTCCGTTCTCTTGCAAGATAGATCCTAGGTAGCGAAAAACGGTCGCTTTTTGTGATCTTCGCTAGATTGCTCCGGTCATTAGTGTGGATAAGTATATAAATGGATAGAGATAGGAAAGCAAACACAAGATGTACGTGGTTCACCCAGATTGGCTACGTCCACGGAATAGAAGAGTTCTCATTAATTGTGAAGGGTTTACACAAGTACATAGGTTCAAGCTCTCCTTTAGTGAGTACAAGTGAATGATTTAGTACAAATGACATTAGGAAAATATTGTGGGAGAATGATCTCGTAATCACGAAACTTCTAAGTATCGGAGTGTGGTGTCGTCTTGACTTGCCTTATCTGTCTCATAGGTAGATGTGGCATCTTCTCTGGAAGTACTCTTCCTCCATCCAGGGGTGGTATCTTTAACTGGTGGAGATGCACAAGGTAATGTATCAATTTCACTTGAAGCTTACTTGTAGTTTCAGGCTTGGTCAAGCGCGATACAAACCATGTAGTAGGAGTCCCCCAAGTCGCCGAGCTAGGGGGTCTGCTGAAAGAGGTGACAGACAAGGTAAGCAATCAGAGCTCCGACTGATTGTTCACCTTCTCCCCATCTTGCAGCAGCATGAAGGATAAAGAGAAGAAAAATGAGAAGAGATGATATGAGATACTTTTGCTTTTGAAGAAGTAACTTTCCACAGGCTTATTCTTGAACTGAGCTGGAGGGTTTTCTGGTTTCCTCCAGAGTATAAGGCCGACTGAAGAATTTGAGGGTCAAAACAAGTCCATCAAATCTAGAGTACGTTCCACCCTGCTGATATGGGATATACTTTTGCTTTTGACAGAGTAATGGATGTATCGGCACGTGTGCTGTTACGCTTGTCTCCACATGCTTCCTTGTATCCTTCGCACTTGCCCTATCTGTTCCTCAAGCAGATGCGGAATCTTCCCTGGAAACATAAGATGTTGAAGATGAGTACTCGAGAGCAATGCCAGGTAAGTAATCAGGTAAGGGGTTCCAGGCAGTCAGTTCCTGGCTGGAAGCTTGATTCCAAGTGCTGACTGATTGCTCTCTTTCTCCTTGTCTTGCAGGTAAAAACAAGGCCAAAGGAAAAAGACAGGGAAAAAAGCATGATATGGGATACTCTTGCTTTTAACCCTGATGATATGAGATATTCTTGCTCTAGTATAGCTTGTTTGCAGAGGTATTATCGGGGGGAAAGAAAGCTGAATATTTCGAAAGGCTTCGTTGGGAGTGCCCTCTCAGATATGATGAAGGGTTGAGCATTTTTTGCAGGTCTGCCTGTCCGTTGGGGATGGAGGTCGACATATATAGGAGTCTCCCTAACAACAAGTAGTAATGCTATTCCTTTACCCTGCTTGGTCATAGCACGGTAGTGGGAGCTGCCAGTTTCACATGTTTTAACTCTGTCAGAGCACTTTGAAAAAGTGGTCTGTGGTATCTGGCTCTCGAGATTCGGAGAACGATGCCTCTTCGATTTTTGAGAAAGCAATCATGCTGGGGGTCTGGCTCTCGAGATTCGGAGAGCAGTGTCTCTTCGATTTTTGAGGAAGTAATCATGTTGGGAGTCTGGCTCTCGAGATTCGGAGGGCGGTGCCTCTTCGATTTTGGAGCAAGCAATCCTGTTGGGAGTGTTGTCTCGAATGTGAGTAAAGGTTGGGCATGTTTGCTAGTCTACCTTGCCACGAAGCACAAAGGTTGACACACAGGGACTTTCCAATTATCCAGCAATGGTACTGTTCCTTTACCCTCTCTTCGCTTTTGAGAAAGTAGTCATGTTGGGAGTCTGGCTCTCGAGATTCGGAGGACGGTGCCTCTTCGATTTTGGAGCAAGCAATCTTGTTGGGAGTGTTTTCTCGAATGTGAGTAAAGGTTGGGCATGTTTGCTAGTCTACCTTGCCACGAAGCACAGAGGTTGACACACAGGGACTTTCCAATTATCCAGCAAGTGGTACTGTTCCTTTACCCTTGTGGGTAATAATATGGTAGCTAGACCTTCAAAATTTATGTGTCTAAACTTTGTTAGTGCTGTTTCTTTGCTATTCTTTTACCTTTCTTGGTCAGAGCGATGTAGTGGGAGCTGCAAGCTTCACGTGCTCAACTTTGGCAGAGAACTTTGGCAAAGTTATCTGTGGTACCCATGAGCTATTGTTGCGTGTGGGAAGTGGGTGATTGAACAGTAAGATTCATGTGCTTTCTACTTCACCAGAAGTCTTCGACAGAATGCCCATAATTTCTGCAAAGCTGAGTGTGCGTGTGACAGGTGCTGACAAGGCTAGAAAAGTAGGTGCCTCTTCGATTTCTGAGATCGGCCCTCGTGGTCTCTGAGCAGCCCAGCTTTTGAGAAAGCGAGCGCCTCTTCGATTGATTCGGAGAACGATGCCTCATCGATTTTTGAGAAAGCAATCATGCTGGGGGTCTGGCTCTCGAAGATTCGGGAGAGCAGTGTCTCTTCGATTTTTGAGAAAGTAATCATGTTGGGAGTCTGGCTCTCGAGATTCGGAGGGCGGTGCCTCTTTCGATTTTGGAGCAAGCAATCTTGTTGGAGTGTTTTCTCGAATGTGAGTAAAGGTTGGGCATGTTTGCTAGTCTACCTTGCCACGAAGCACAGAGGTTGACACACACAGGGACTTTCCAATTATCCAGCAATGGTACTGTTCCTTTACCCTCTCTTCGATTTTTAAGAAAGTAGTCATGTTGGGAGTCTGGCTCTCGAGATTCGGAGGACGGTGCCTCTTCGATTTTGGAGCAAGCAATCTTATTGGGAGTGTTTTCTCGAATGTGAGTAAAGGTTGGGCATGTTTGCTAGTCTACCTTGCCACGAAGCACAGAGGTTGACACACAGGGACTTTCCAATTATCCAGCAGTGGTACTGTTCCTTTACCCTTGTGGGTAATAATATGGTAGCTAGACCTTCAAAATTTATGGGTCTAAACTTTGTTAGTGCTGTTTCTTTGCTATTCTTTTACCCTTCTTGGTCAGAGCGATGTAGTGGGAGCTGCAAGCTTCACGTGCTCAACTTTGGCAGAGAACTTTGGCAAAGTTATCTGTGGTACCCATGAGCTATTGTTGCGTGTGGGAAGTGGGTGATTGAACAGTAAGATTCATGTGTTTTCTACTTCCCCAGAAGTCTTCGACAGAATGCCCATAATTTCCGCAAAGCTGAGTGTGCGTGTGACAGGTGCTGACAAGGCTGGAAAAGTAGG